ATGTGGGAGAGGGACCTCCATGTAAAATTGAATTTTTCATTGTATAAGCATTTAGATGAATTGAAAAATATGAAATATTTGTTAGCTTCACATGTTGAGCATGATTTCCAAACCTGATGAATATTTCAATCACAAAAATGGTTAATTAATGCAAGAACAAAGATATATATGCGCATGCTTGTGTGTAAATTTATAGTGGTAAAAACTGGAATTAAACCCCAAAAAATATCTTTTCTCTATAGCTGGCACCGTGAAAAAAGAAGGTCATCAATGTGAGTACACTTAATTCTGTTGTAAATACTTGTCATTAGCAACTGGAAAGCTTTTAATTTTAAAGATGTAACCGTAATTAACGATTTATATATCAATGTTTAATTTTACAGCCTCTATGCGTCTTTGCATGGGGTCAAGACGAGGGTTCATTATACGAATGAAGATCGGCAGCACGCAGTTAGATCCCATGACGTATGGTAGATACCACCATATGAGGAATAATCGTAACGGTTTGGGTCATAAAGACGGGGAGCAGTATGCAGTTGTGCACTGCACTGGATATATCAAGAATTGGCCACCTGCAGCAGGTATAAATAACCTCATGTTTATCTAACGTGGTCATTTTCGCAATTCTTGGGTTCATGATTTACTGTGTTATATTAGCTGCTTACGTTAAAAAAAAAATGATTGGCATTGGCAGAGACATTAATTTCACTGTAGTTAAATTAATTCTGATTTTAAGTTTCACTTATGCGGTGTGTTAGATGAATTGGCAGCTGTGTTTAATTTATTTGCCAAATTTTAGATTTGAAAGTGTTAATAGCAAGTGCAGGCAATTGAAATATTAAACTTTGGTTAATTAATTAATAGATTTTTAGTATGCAAGATTCAAGTTGAAATAAAAAAGAAAGATTTCAGAGATTTATCAAATGGTGGCACTGTTGTGATAAAAGTGAACACTACACTCCTGAATAGAAGCATCTTATACATTTGTCTTTTTTAATCAACTTTTGTTTTTCTGTTCACGTTTTCATAACTGCCAATTTTTATTTTTTAATAGAAGTTAATAAATTTGTAAAATACAAATTTTTTACTGAATGATAAGTGTAACCCTCAATGCGTATGTATCAGGGGAAAAAAAAAAAATCTTTTTCAGTGGATTCTGGTTTTATATGGAATGCAAAGTGTATGATATAAATTTCATTTATGCTCTGATCCAACAACTACCAGAAAAGCTGAATTCCAATTTTGATTTTATTGATCAAACAACACACACATTTAGATTTTGTTGGCCATTCAATACCTTACATCGTGATAAAACTTTATGTATGTGTGATAGTTTTACCCATGATGCAATGTAGTTTTCATGGCACCATGGGTAGACGTGGCAGCAACTGTCTGTATGTATGTTGTTATGAGTATAGTACATTTATAGTTCTAGCTTCTGCTGCAGGCATGGAGCACCAGGAAGTCGAGGAAGCGCATAGTTCCAACCATTACTGCCTTGTCGCTATTGGACGTCTTCAGGTGACCAGTTCTCCAAACTGTGCAGACCTTGCAGGATCTGGCACGCCAACTGAGTTTATTTCTCGTCACAGCATGGATGGAAAGTTCACATTTGTAGATCAGAGGTAAGTTGTGTTGCATATGTATCTTGGACGTGCCTGTCTTGTTAGTGTGCTGTTTTAGTCTCCTCACTATTCAATAAACAACAATTATCAACTCTTTTGAGATTGTTATTACTATTTTTTGGGGTTTTGCTTTGTTTGACAGAGTCACAGGTGTACTTGGTTATCAACCGCAAGAGCTGCTCGGTAAATCCTGCTTCGATTATTATCACCCTGACGATTTGAGCCACTTAAAAGATAGCTTCCAACAAGGTAACGTCTTTGTATTAGAATGTGTTCTGGCTGCCCTACCGTATTTACTCTATTAGAGTATGCACACAGACAGTACAGCTGGAGTATCGACCGACGCGCAGCATGCTGTCTGAGTGCATACTTTGAGAGATTCTTGTATAGCCTCATTATTATACATCTTTTCCTTCCAAGGATACACCATGGGAATGTCGAAATCCAAAATTCTTTGTGTGGAGTCTGGTCAAACTTGTTTGTTTGTATTATTAGAAGACGCTTACATGCATAATTATTCTATATTTAGAATTCGCATGTCCTAATATGATAGAAAGAAAATACCCTGTAAAATACCGCAAAATTACGGCATGCCGTAACGTATGGTGTTACGGTGAAAGATGTATAATAATATGATTTATTTTATTTTGACCATAGTCATGCGTCATTTTTGTGCTAATAGAGCAACTACAGTATTTTGAAAACATTTTTTTTGCATGGATTGGCTTTATTTATATTTCAAACTGTTGATTTAATACAATACCAAGATAACGTTAGATGCGTCAGTGAAATTTTAGCGAAAAAGTGCAGTTGAATCTGCTTTGTTTACTGCTGCTGTTCACTAATATTACTAGACATATCAGTCTTTTTTTTTCAAATTTTGGATATGCGTCATCTTTTGGGAGTTCAGATGCTGGAACCAACAATACAACGTATGTATTGTTTGGTTACATTCAACACCACTGAGCCTAAATATTGGAACTGGCAAAACAAGATTGTGTAGTCAGTATAGGTATATTCTCACACGCAAGTGTTGTATCTTGTCTGCCAAAATGAACATCAATACACTATTCCTACTAGTTGCACCCTCTAGTGGTGAGTAATTCTGTGATGTGAATGGAATTTAAATTAGGTACATCTTCAGTCTGATTGTTTATAGTTTTATGCACTTTTGAAGGCTTTTGATAAGAAGAAAAATGATTTTTCACACAGTGTTTATTTATTTATTTCAGTTTTAAAATTAAAAGGTCAAGTCTTGTCTGTAATGTATCGATTCCAAGCCAAGAATCGAGAGTGGGTATGGCTACGGACAAGTTGTTTTAGTTTTCAAAATCCCTACACAGACGAAGTGGAATACATTGTTTGTACAAATACATCTGTCAAGTAAGTGGACGCTAACTTATCTCTCGCTGCTGCTAATCCTTGCTAATCTACTCGTATTCTCTTTTAGCAACTTTATACTATCTAAACCAAAACTTGTACCAACTAAACGTAATTTTCTAGTAGTTTACTGTAAAGTCTGTATAAGAAGCCGCAGCTTCCTTAATCTTTTGACTACCAGACTTTCTCGCACATATTTTTCTGAACTTTTTTTTCAATATATATTATTCAATATTTCTGGAAATGAACCCTAATCTTGAAGCCAACAGACAAAATTTGAATCAATTTTCAGTTTTTACTCAAAAAATTTGGCTATATTTGTCCCAATCTTCTTAACGAAAGTGCAGACTATAAACAGAACTGTTTTGTGAATTTGTGATGAAAAGAAGGAACTGATGTTGAAAATGTTAAAATGGTGCAATATAAGGAGATGCTACTTCCATTGGAGCATCTACACATATGAGAAATGGTGAACTTCTGGTTCTCAATTGTTTGAAAATATTGTGGCTTCTAGTAGGGATGCGACTTCTACCGCTGTGTTCAGTTTAGACAGGTTTCCCTTTATTAAAAGTATTCTCATCTTATTTGTTCAGGGATACTAATTATAATCGCATTCTTGTATTTCATTTCTGCCCTAATTTTAATACCCGGTACACTTAGAGTCAACGGGCCTGCTTCTGCTTGGTTACATTGGTTAGAGGCATTACATCATTCATAACTGTTTACATCACTGTTTTTTTGTCAGAAGAAAAAAAAATTAGAAAAAAATTGATTATTTATAGAGCAAAACTGTGGCAAACAAAAACCAATTCAGATTTGTTGTAGTTGCAGTAAAATGTGAGTGACTTGCGTCACAATTATGTGTGGTGTTTCATCCAGATAATGTGAAATCACCGACCATGTGTTTTTTTCTGGTTAGAGGCATAATTAACATATTATAAATAAATATATGCAAATATAGATGTGTTTTCTTCTCTCCATGCAGAAATCTTCAACAGAATCAACAACAACCTGAGCTAGAAGGAAACAAAGAGGGAGGTGGTGAAATACCCCATTTACAATACCCACCTCCCTCGACAACACATTTGTACCAAACGCCACAAGCTACATCTGATCCTCTCGTCAACAACAGCCGAGGTCCCGGTGAAGAGAGAAAGGACGACAAGACAGATGGGATCACTCGCTATACCACAAGACCAGATACCGAAAATTATCCAAACTTGATTGCGCCAACTTCTGCAGAAGCCAACAAAGCTGGAGCTGCCGCAACCCCCGGCTATCCAAGCAGTGCCTATGCCAGGTCGCCACAGACGCAGTATCCAAGCAGCGCTCTGGCAAGTACGGTGTTGCAGAGTGTAAGCTCACTGCCATCAAGGAAAAATTATCATGGACCTTCGCAGGGACCATGGCCAAGTCCTGTGTCTTACCCAAGCCCAGTTGATGTGAGTTTATTTCTCAGAAAAATGTATTTTCCAAAGTGATGGCTGCAACTGGAAAGATGGATAACATTAAATATGCAGTATAATTCTTGCAAGTAAAATGATTTTATATCGTCAAGTGACTGTACAGAAACAATTACTGGACATAAAAAAGAATTCGCCAGTAAGGCCGAAAAAAAAATATCTCTGTTTCTCGTTTCCGCATGCATAATTTTGAACTATGCATCTCAAACATTTTTTTCTTTTTCTAAAATTCAAAAATGCGCTTGTACTCGCACTTGTCTCAAATTCCCCCCATTTTAGCTCAGTATTCAAAAAAAACGAGATATATAAAACGAGAAACAGAGAATTTTTTTTCCTGGCCTAATGTGCACATCTGAAATTCACTTTGAGCATGGCAAGTTTAACTTTTCGTTTATCAAGTTTACCCTGGCAACCTTTATTAAGAATGTTTACAGGATTGTGCAATATATTAATCTTTATTTTAAATGTTGTTACATACTACATTGTGATTAATATCTTGGCAATTATTAATACTCCAGGGTAGCAGCGGCTCCAGTAGCTCACAGTCTGGGACCTATCCATCACATGCAGCAACAGGACAGTCTTCAACTACACTTCCAGTGACATCATCACCTGGACCTACATACACTCAGTTGCAACCCCAGGGAAGTGTCACACGGCCAGTAGGTTATCCATATCAACCAGACAAAGGTAAGTGTGTGTTTTTAAGGAATTGTATCTTTAGTGTAAATCATAAGATGAGTTGAGTATCCAGCTGTCTATTTTAGAATGCAAAGTGTGGGTTAGGAGGTTGAATCTTGTACAATCTTATCAAGATTAAGTTCTATGCAAGAATTGGACCCTCTGGAATAAATTCCATACAAGAATTGGACCCTCAGGAATAAATCCTATACAAGAATTGGGCCCTCTGGAATAAATCAAATACAAAAATTGGACCCTCAGGAATAAATCAAATACAAAAATTGGACCCTCTGGAATAAATTCCATACAAGAATTGGACTCTCAGGAATAAATCCCATACAAAAATTGGACCCTCGGGAATAAATCAAATACAAGAATTGGACCTCTGGAATAAATCCCATACAAATATTGGACCCTCTGGAATAAATCCCATACAAGAATTGGACCCTCTGGAATAAATTCTGTACAAGAATTGGACCCTCTGGAATAAATTCCGTACAAGAATTGGACCCTCTGGAATAAATCCCATATAAGAATTGGACCCTCTGGAATAAATCAAATACAAGAATTGGACCTTCTAGAATAAATCCCATACAAGAATTGAACCCTCTGGAATAAATTCCGTACAAGAACCCTCTGGAATAAATCCCATACAAGAATTAGACCTTCTGGAATAAATCCCATACAAGAATTGGACCCTCTGGAATAAATTCCATACAAGAATTGGACCCTCAGGAATAAATCCCATACAAGAATTGGACCCTCTGGAATAAATCAAATACAAGAATTGGACCCTCTGGAATAAATCCCATACAAGAATTGGACCCTCTGGAATAAATCAAATACAAGAATTGGACCCTCTGGAATAAATCAAATACAAGAATTGGACCCTCTGGAATAAATCAAATACAAGAATTGGGCCCTCTGGAATAAATCCCATACAAGAATTGGACCCTCAGGAATAAATCCCATACAAGAATTGGACCCTCTAGAATAAATCAAATACAAGAATTGGACCCTCTGGAATAAATCCCATACAAGAATTGGACCCTCTGGAATAAATCCCATACAAGAATTGGACCCTCTGGAATAAATCCCATACAAGAATTGGGCCCTCTGGAATAAATCCCATACAAGAATTGGATCCTCTGGAATAAATTCCATACAAGAATTGGACCCTCAGGAATAAATCCCATACAAGAATTGGACCCTCAGGAATTAAATCCCATACAAGAATTGGACCCTCTGGAATAAATTCCATACAAGAATTGGACCCTCAGGAATAAATCAAATACAAGAATTGGACCCTCTGGAATAAATCCCATACAAGAATTGGACCTTCAGGAATAAATCCCATACAAGAAGTATACACTCAGGATTAAATCCCATACAAGAATTGGCCCCACAGGAATAAATCCCATACAAGAAGTGTACACTCGGGATTAAATCCCATACAAGAATTGGCCCCATAGGAATAAATCCCATACAAGAAGTATACACTCGGGATTAAATCCCATACAAGAATTGGCCCCATAGGAATAAATCCCATACAAGAAGTGTACACTTAGCATTAAATCCCATATAAGAATTGGACCCACAGGAATACATACCATACAAAAATTGAATACTCTGAGACAAATTGAATTAATTCACATTTATATTTTGTACTTGTTCTCTTGATGTTTCTTTATGTAATGTACATCCTCTTTTTTCTTCTTAATTTTGTAAATAATATTATTAGTTGCCATTCCATTCTGGTTTTCATGTCAGATTTAAAATGGCAGACTGGCAGACATTTTGTTTTAATGAATGCATATCCAGACATATCGCAGACATGCCATGACTGTTCATGTTCAAACTTAATATAAACTTGATAACTCACAGGGACTATGTAATGCAATTATTTTGTTTTGTTTTTGCACTGATGTTTATTATTTCCAATTTATTTTATGTTTTCATTTTTGTTTTGTATCTTAGGTGCACATTCCCGTCCAGGCCACCCATCTGCTCACCCAATGCAAGGTATCATAATCATAGTATTTCAACACAACTGAACCCAAAAGTTGTGGCATAATGCTAAATGACTGAAATGTTCACTCCAACAATGTCGCCATGACTCGTCGTCTTAAAAATCTCAAATGAAATAATAACTGCTACAAAAGTCTTAAAGATCTCAATTAATTTTCATTGCTACAAAATTTAACATTTTTTTTTCTGGAAATTTAAAAAGAGTCTCTTGTGAAAATAAACTATTTACAGTAGTTGTAAATAAAAAAGGAGTTGTGCTAAGATTTGACAAGCATACATCGATGCACTTTTTTATTTGAGGTTAATGCATGAATTTACATTGTTGATTTTTTTTTTTTTGCACTTACAATTATTATTTTTAATTTACTTTATGATTTCGTTTTTGTTTTGTATTATAGGTGCACATCCCCGTCCAAGCCATGCGTCTGCTCACCCAATGCAACAAGGTATATTTAGCTTATGGTGTTTTATGCAAATGTTCTTTACAATTGCATCATACCATTAAATCCTTTCCACCTGCCATTAGTCTGCAGCATATTTATATTACAACTGATAAACTTGTAGGGTTGTCTCTTTATTTGTCTTCTATCGAAGTGGCGACTGAGTAATTACATTTCAAGTTAGATGCACATGTCATATATGTTACAGTGTCATGATCTCAATTAGTTTATTGTGTTCTTTGTAGACAGTTATATTTCTCTTAAATATGAGAATTCGCAATTCTTATTTTTGTCCATGTTGTTCTGATTTCCGAGAACTGATTTATCTCTTGGTTTTATTTTTCATATTTAACAGAAGCGACTCCAAGTAATGTTTACTCTGGGACCGGGGAGCGCCATCCACTGTCAAGAAGGGATCCCGCTTTATGGGCGCAGTGGCAAGCGGCTGCAGGTACTCCAAGCGGTGACCACGCGCACGGATCTTTACAGCCTGGACAACATACTGAAGACATGACTGATATCTATAGAATGCTTGGCGATCATCCGCCACAGCCTCCTTACAACAATGTTGATGAATTCGGTGATTTGTCAATGTTCACACCATTTTCTGAATAGCCTTCAGCAGGAATCTGTTTGTGCTACCCACCCCCCACCCCCCTCTTATTTTTATTTGTGTTATTTGAAATGTTTGTATTGCCCCTCTGTTCTTTGGATTATGGTTCACCCTAAATTTGTAATTGTGAACTCACAACTCAGCATTTTAAATAAGCCAAAGTAAAAATAATCTCTATCCCCTCTTTACCTAGTTGTATCCCCTCTAACAAAATAGTTTAGTCCATTTCAAGTTGCTGTTTTATTTTTTTAAGCGTGATTTATTCACTTGGAATTTGTTGAAGCAAAACAAAATGCACAGATACATGTATACACAGTTTTATATGTTTCCATATTACGTCTTTATTCTATTTATTTGATGCTGTTAATTTGTATTTCAAATTCGCTCTTAATACATACATATATTGGTTTAATATGTATAAAATAGCCAAAAGGGAAATAAAAGGTGGTACAAATTTTGAAGTGATCACTTTGTTAGACTGGTAATTGTTCTGTTTGTGAATTTTTTGTAATGATAGAAAGAATCAAATTTCTATGGTGAAAGGGTAACACCTTGCTTGTGATTGGTTAATACAAGAGCAGCCATTTTGATTTTGATTTGCAATATGACATGTAGTTGGATGCTATGAAAGGATGAATGTGATAGGCTGATATGATAAGCTTAGATTTTAATTTATACATTTCTATTAATTACTATATTTGTAAAAAAAAAAAAGAAGGAATTTTAAATTTTGCCTTTGGCTTTAACTGAAAGCAGCAGAGAGGGGTGAAAATACCATTTTTTGATGAATGCATCAGAAATAGAGTACATTGTGCACATTTTTTACTGCCTTTTGAAAACTTTCTTTTTGAGTTGCACATTTGCTGTATTAATTTGCAGTTTTTTGCTGTAGTTTTTTTTAGCAATACTTTACTCATTTTAATTAATTCTTGCTATAAATTTATGAATTATTAATAATATAAGTTTATCTTTTCATTATATCTAAAAAATATATTTTAAGAAAAATTTGAATTTGAAAGCTGTATCTTACTGTAGCGTTTGGCATTTTTTCTTTGAATTTAAAAAAAAAAGTTTTTAAAGGGAAATAATGCTCTGTCTACTTAATCATATTATGAAGCTTGATGCGCATATGTATTGCTATTTTTATGAAGAAATTTGAATATTTCTCTGCATATCAGTATTAATGTATTAGGAATATTTGCTTGTGTAACATTTGTCATGTTGACTATAAACACCAGTGTTGAGTTGTAAGTATACTGTGGAATGTATTCAGGAATTACCCTAAATCTTTTTGATTTGGAGACTTTGGCCAGAACTTGAACTTGAAGTTAATTTAATGAAAAGGACTTTTTATCGCAAGAAGAAATTAATAATATAATTTCAATGTAAATCTGAAAATGTTGTTTCAGAATGGTCATTATGTTCTGTGTAAGAGCCCCTGATTTTGAGGTTCTGAAACCCTATATTGTTGAATGACTTGTTTCATACAATTTTATCATTATACTTATATGATTTTTTTTTTTAATGCTTCTGAATGTCATTTGTGAAAGGAAATTAATATTTTATCATTCATGTTTAATAAATAGTCTTCTGTTTTGTAAAAAAATTGTGGAAACCAGAGTGGTGCCAGATGCCATTTTCTGATGAATACATACCTCAAACAAAAAAGGACTGATTTCAAATAATTATTTCAAATGTAAATTGGTTTTAATATTTTGCATTGGGTGGTGATGTTTGTGTTCTGTGTAATTCATTGTTGTTCCAGTTATTATGATGCCAGTTTTAAACCTATTTGAAAAATGTATCTCTAGTTTGTTACTGTCTCCAGTGTTTGCGAGGAAAATGTATCATAAATCATGAAATGTTTGCCAGAAAGAGGAACGTTAAATTTTTACAATTTGGTTATTAATTGGCTTTTGCAGTAAGTAAATTTTATGAAAATTACTCTGATTACCGCTCTAAAAGCCCCTGGTAAAATTTTCACTATCACATTTATTTTGAGATTTTTCTCGATAGCAGTAAATGAAAAGTATGTATGAATATTATCATGTTATGTTCAAGTATAAACATTTATAACAATCATTGTTTAACCTTTTTACCATCAGACTTTCTCGCCCAAATTTTTTTTTATATTCTTCACTTTTTCTGGAAATAAATCCTAATTTTGGAGCCAACAGACAAAATTTGAGTGAATTTTCAGTTTTTACTCAAAATTTTTTACCATTTTTGTCCCAATCATCTGAAGTTAAATGGCAGGCTATAAACGGGACAATTTTGTGAAAATGTGATGAAAAGAGGGAACTGGTGATGAAAAGGTTAACGCAATTAGAAATGACTGACATTTATCATGTTGACTTCTGCATCGAGTAAAATTTCCAAAAGTATAGTGAAGTTATTGTGCTTGCACCGATAAATTCACTTAGTCATATTTTGCGTCCAAGTGAATTCATAGCTTGGGCTCAATAACTCACCCAATTCAAGTTTTACCTGAGCTAAAAAAGATTTGATACTGTCCAAAGAAAGTTTGGCTCTCTAACTAAAATGACTAAGAATCATATGTTGATAAAATTTTCATATAAATTACATAGATTTAGATATATTTTCATTGAACTTGCGAATATGTAATGTACTTTTGTTGACAAGAATCGTATATATCTGACAAAAGTGCACCTATCTTTGGGGAACATCTGCATAACATTAGGTACACCTGGCCTTGCATGGCTTTTCAGTTGCAATCAAGTAGCTGATAAAGTATGT